GCAGCAACAAAATATGAAAAATGGGCAACCATTTTTCCTACTACTAACATATCTACATCTTACATTGCAACACTAAATCTAGAAGAGGTTTGACAGCCTACTCTAGTAGAGTTTTGGGCTAAGGATAAATTAGTCCTAGCTATAGGTCCATGCAATAATTTATGTAACTCATTTTCATTAATATAATACCAAATTTTTCAATAAAGACTGAGGCCAGGCCTCACTCTTAAAATAAAAAAAAAAAAAAAAAGTATTATTATTATATTTTTTTCTTTTTCTTTTCCTTAATTATTTATAAACCTTAGTCAAAAGTTTTCTTGCTCTAAGTCATATACATGTTTCTTGAGATTGTTTATTTCTTGAAAAAGCTTTTCTCAAATTTTCTTTTTTTCAACTCTGCATATGCAGCAATGAGTTTATTTTTAAGATGAACACAGTTTGGACAACCAAAACCACTTGTATATTCTTTAGTTTTCTTTTTCAACTGAACTAAGAAACTTTGAACTACTGCTACTATATCTTGTAAAGAACCAAGATGGGTCAATAGGTTTTGACGAAAGGCAGTAGAAGTAGAAGTAGATGAAGAAGCAGAAGATAAGATCACATTAAAGTCATATTTTTCCAAGACATTCTTTATCAGAAATGGAGTGATGCAAATCATGAAGTGTATGATTATACGGCAATTTAAATGATGTTACTCTGCAAAATCGTGGTTTTGTTTGGTCTGCATGACCCTATTTGTCACTTATTATTTATTTTTCACGTATCATTTCATCGATGCCTTATATATACATATGGAATATAAAAAATTAATTGCAGATTATATTTATATGAAGAATTTCTTGTTTAATCACATAAATATATATGTGCAGTTGAATTAATAATGATAATGATAAATGTATTGATAGCATGTATATATATATAGAAATTTGATAGCTGCTGATTACTGATTGATTAAAACTAGTTTTAATACAAATATAAAACCAGTTCTGACCTTTATGTGGGGTAGTGTAAAAGTTAGTTGTAATCTGCCACATGAATATTTAACTAATTTGTATAATTTTCTTTTTATCATAAGATTGTACTTATTCTAAAAATAGGCATTTGATATATTGGTGTATGTAAGCAAAAATATATTGGAGATCTTCACCATATGGCGTAAAAAGATGTCTTGATCCTTATCGAAATAAATGTACTAATATCTTGTTTGTTCGCAGCTGTTTATCTATTTTGGCAATCATTTTATTGGCGTTGGTTATGAATATCAAGACTTGTTTGTTTCAGATATTTTTATATGGAATTTATCTTTTATTATATATAATATATATTTTTGTGCACTTGTTTGCTTGTAAATTATTTGGAGATCCAGAAAAGTTGGGATAGACGCTAAAAAAAAAAATCATACTAATCAATGATTTGTTATATTGTTTTGCTATTTATTATCTTTGTAATTTAATAAGTTATGATTAGTTTGATTGTTCTAGATTGTTCTAATATCAAGATCTATAATTTATCTATATTTAAAAAACAAAAAAAAAAATTATCGCACTTATCAATAATTTGTGAATTGATATCATTGTATTGTCTTGCTATTTATTAACTTTGTAATTTAAAAATGTACTCTGTAATTTAAGAATGTATATTGTTTGGATCGGTTTTATTAATAGCGTAAATCGAATATATTCAGATATGAGAACAATGTTTCTGTTCTTTTGTTTATCTGAACTAATGGTGTGATCGATGATTGTGCAAAGTTCATTGATAGAAAGTGAATTGTACTGTACTGAGATTCGTGTAATTTTATAATCGAGAATGAGCTTTTATTTATTTTATTTTTATTTTTTTATAAAAATTGAGCTTTGTAAAGAATCTTTTCTTCTTGATTACAATAAATTTTTAAAACATTTCAAAGTAAAAAAAAATAAAAAATGCCATCCCATATTGCTTACTTGTTGTAATTTTTTCAGCAAAGAATAATACCTCATGCTCGTATAGGCTCGCTAAATACAAAGTTTCAACACAAACATCTTGTTCTGTTAGATGAAAATATTTCTTTCTGACTGATGCACTATCTCAATTGTTTACTCCTGGTGATTTGGTATTTATTTCTGGTAGATGTGTTGTTGAAAACTCTAAACAATGCATAACTGTTGCATATGCTAGCACTATTGATAATGAAAACCCTAATCGAGAATTTGACTTTACCAGTGTCCCTATATGCATACCTCATTGTATGTTTTCCGTCCTTGTTAATCATAACCCAAAAATAACTGAGAAGTTCATTCATTTTGGTGTCAAATCTGTAGAATATAATTCTATCACTGGATCATCTAATGTTAAGATGAAAATAATTGTTTTTTATTCTTCTCAATTCACAAGATTTAAACATTTAGGACATTTAGGATCTAATATTAAAGTAGGAAATGCTTACCTTGTATCAGGTCCCTTTAAGTTCTCGGATTCTGGAAAAATAGTGATTGAAGCTACTGATATCGATTATTCAAAACCACTGCTCTTGAATTTTAACAATCCTAAAATTCCTTCCTCCACATCATCAAACACTCGCACCATTATTGATATTATAGTGGATGATGTTGATTCTGTAACTCATTAATCATCTAAAAAGCAATCATTTAGTAAACATGATATTATATCTGCTTGTAATTCAACCAAGACTTTGCCTTCTTTAAATGTTGCTGATGTCGAAGTTAATTTATCTCTTGGACAAAAGAATTGTATTGAATTAGATGCGAAGGATAATAATAGTGAACCTAATTTTGAATATGAACCTGATGAGCATGAAAATTCATCAGATCGAAATGATGATTAACAGCCTAAAAAGAGAAAAAGAAATACAAAAGTAATTAAAAAAGGTAACCCAAAAAAATAACATAAAAATAAACATAATATATATATATATATAATCTTTTTTGATATATTTTACTTTTGCATTATATGATCATGTTATTTTCTTATTTTATTATACTTTATACTATAACTTTTTACCACATTGTATCTTCTTTTTTATAAAATAAAAATTTGGTTTACCTATTCTATCTGTCAATCTAAAGATAAAAATAATATCTACATTGAAATAATAAAAAATTAGAATCTGTGTATAAATGTCTAAATTACTTCTGTCTGATATAATATCACATCACTGATATTAATTGAATTGATATCTGCCTCTTTATATTTCCTCGATATCATATCATTTTTATGATGTTAAATGAAAAATTGTTTCATCAATTAAACAATTAAACCTTTAAAAATCCTGAATAATTAGCTTTAATAGCATGCTTAAAATAGATATCCTTATGTTAATTGTAATAGTAATAATAGTATGATTGTAATTATATTGTATAATATATAAATGAAACCACATATTTTGCTCTAAATAAAGGTAGTTCTCAAATTAGTTGGAATTTGATCTTATCAATCCCAATTAGATTGCCTTAGTATTTTCTGGTTAACAACTAATTGTATAAGTATAATCCTGCATTGAAGTGTCTTAACATAATCCAGAACTTTAAGCTACTCACTCTAATTACTAGACCAGATCTTTTTTTCCTCTTCAAGTCTGCCATTAGATGGTATTTAGTGTTGTTAACGATCATGTAACACTTCTTTTCCAACTCTAGAATGTTCCATATATGTACAGTACATATTTGTGTAAAACGCCAATCTGGTAACCAGATAGAACTATTTCAAATATATATTAGTTAGCCTTAGATGATAGTCTAGATTATTAATAAAATGAGAATAACAATGCATCAAAAATGCATTAAAGTTGCTAGTAAAGTTAAATTTGGTGTTAAACCATGTTTTTTTATTAAGATTTTCATTGATGCTAAACATAGAAGTTTAAGATAATATAATATGATGTATATTAAATTTATAAAGCCTTTTCTTTGATATGTAGAATGCATGTTTTTATGAGTAAACTAAAAAATAATAATTTATAAGTTAAGCATGTTAAAATTGAATGCTATAAAAAGAACTCGTTAAAGATTGAAAATGTTTTTTTAACTCACATCCTAAACAAATTTCATAATACAATTTTCATTTATTTCAATTAACAAATCAATTAAAAAACGCTATGAATCAGATAGAAACATGAAGAGAAGCTAGAAAAAGAAAAGAGTATGAACATAAAGTAATTCAACATATGAATTCTCAATTTAGAAGGTTAAAAAATGATAGATCACAACAACACATGGCAAGACTTTGCCAAGATCAGAATTATGTTAGGAAATCTAATTTATTACAAAGTAAACATCAAAAAATAAAAAAGAATATTTCTAATTACCCAAATATCGATACGAGAATTCCTTTGTGCATTCTAGAAATAGATCATAAATTTGAAATAGCATTTGAATGATATACAATATGGCCTCAACTTGTAAATCCTGAAATATCAAAAAATGCATTAGCTGAATTTTGCAATAAGATTAAACCTAATGAATTATGCGAATTACCATGTGCAGCTTGCTCTGGACTTTATTGTTATAAAAACTATAAAGAAATTTCAGTAAATAATATTGATCTTTCTCTACTTAAAGCTCTGATTGATTTTCTTGACCCATTCTTTGAAATTGATTTTAATTATAAACATCCTTATATTGATAATAGTGAATTAAAATTTCTTTTAAATCATTCCAGTTTTATTTATTCTTCTAAATGTTAGTTTAATAATGAACTCGCTGATTCTAAAGATTCCTTTCAACTAAGAATTTGTAATACTTGTTACAATTCTTTGAACAAATGTAAGACCCCAATTCTATCCTTAGCCAATAACATGTGAATTGGTTCTACACCACAGTGCCTTCAAGGATTAACCATTCCAAAACAAATCCTCATTTCACCTGAATATTCATATATGAATCTTATTCAACTAACAAAAAAAAAGTATACACATTATAAACTTAAGGGTCATATTATAACATTTTCACAAAATCCAAAATTGTTAATGAATATATTACCTTTGCCTATGTATCGGCTTACTGACTATTTAAAAGTAGTTTTTATTGGAAGTGGATCTCCTACTAACCATCAGCTAAAGAAAATACTTTAGGTTCGAAAAAGTAAAATAATAATAGCACTTCAATGGCTTTTTGAACATAATAAATTATTTAAAGATAAATTTATCATTGATACAAATTCTTTAAATGTTCTACCTGAAGAAGATATTCCTGAACCCTTGCTTATAACTACTACTGTTATAAATATCACTTCTCATGAAATGAAGCATTATACAGACTATGCTTTAAATGATTTGTTAGATGAAAACTGTTCAGATAACAATAGTGATAATAACAATCAAGATTTGTTTGAATGCAATAACCAGGTTTTTAAAAACTTTATTAATAATAATTCTATTAATAGCACAAGTGAACTTAGACCATCTGGAATATTGCATGTTGATAATGTACCGATTACTAAAAGAGAGCTTACTCTGCTCTCGTTTCAAAAACTAATTACCAAATTTAATCTACAGTCTAATAAACATGTGTCTTCAGAGCAAAATAAAAAATCAGTAAATATATCTACGCAATCACATGTTATTTGTGTACCTTATAGTAACAAACTTTAAATGAATATGAAGATTCATCTCTTTTCCTACAGCATTTCCAATTCTCTACCCATATGGAGTTGGAGGTCATGAAGGTAGATCAACATGTGTAACATTAAAAAAATATGCTAATCACCTAATGCATTATCATGATCCAAAATTTTGGCAATACAGATCATTTCAATTTGTTCTTTTTAATGTTCTACAGCATCGAGAAGTGTCAACAAAATCTTATAATTTAACTAAAAATAAAAATTTTGAATGATCAGCAAGATTAATATCTACATTAAAGCTACAAGATATAAAACAGTCTATTGACCAAATACAAAACAATCAAAAGATATCTCACTTTGCAATTAATGAGCTTCTCAGAAATATAAATGCCACTGGATCAAAATTAATAGCTTCTCATCAATCATGTGCTCGTATCCACAATAAAATATGTGCTTTTATTATGCATGATAGTACTCCCTCTCTATTTATAACCATTAATACAGCTAACCTTCATAGCCCAATCATCATGATGTATGCTGGAAATGAAATAGATATTGAAAAACTTACTTCTGATAATTTTCCTAAAGCAACTGAAAGGTCTTGTCTTGCACATCTTGATTCTTCTGCTGTTGCAAAGTATTTTAATATGGTTACAGAATTAATTATAAATACACTATTTGCTTATAATAAAGAAAATGGTGGCATATTCAGTGCAATGAAGAATTATTATTGTGTTGTAGAATATCAGGATCACAGCACTTCTTATTGTCACATGCTTGTTTGGCTATATGAAGCACTTAATCCGATCATTTTATGTAATAAAATTAAAGAAGATATTGAATTCCGTCAATGTTTATTATATTATATTAGTAATATTATTCAAGAAGATATTAGCTATTTGCTTCCAGAAGGTGAAGTTTTAACAAATAAAATGCTTGAAGCTAAATATGCTGTACTGAAAACAATTATTCAAAAACGAATGCATCTATTCTTTATGCCTATACCTGATCTCAAATCTCCTAATTTTGAAGAAAATTTTCAACAAGACTTACTTGATATTGCTAAACATATGCTTTTTCATTGCTGTAATTGAACCTGTAAAAAATATAATCATAGTTTACAAAAGCACTGCAGGTTCAACTTTCCAAGAGAATTAGTAAATCCTTCAAGAATAATCTTTCCTGATCAAGGCATTATTGCTGTTCAATATAATAATGCTTTTATCAATAATCATAATCCCTACAAAACTGCTGCTTGTAGAAGCAATAATGATATTAAATTTATTGCAACACATAAATTAGCTCTAGCATATGTTTACTATATAACTGATTATATTACTAAATCTGATCTCAGTACGCATAGTTCTTTTTTAATATGTGCTTTTACTTTACAATCTTTTTGAGCTCAAGCATCAGATAAAACATCAATAGATATTGTAAATAGATCTCACAAGCTTGTGACAAAATGCCTTAATAAGATAGTAGGCCAAACTGAACTTACGAGTCCACAAGTATCTGCCTACTTACTAGGCATTAATGATCATTATACCCCAAACACGTTTGTATCATTACATCTTCAATCTTTTGAAGATTATCTTATGATGGAATGGAAAAAGCATATTCAAAATTTTAATAAAGACTTAGATGAATTTAATGATTGTTCTGATACTAATTATGATCAAAATAACCAATATTATAAAAATGAATCATTTATGATAACATTTTTTAATAATAATTTAACTGCAATAAATCTTCATGTTAATTATCAATTTAGAGGTTCATCACTATGCAATATTTGTCTCTATGACTATGCAGCCAGCATTCGAAAGACTCCAATAAATTTACATGAACTTTCAATGTTATTAGGTCAAAACTCTAGAATTGGAAATGACCAATTTTTTTTTTGAGAAAATGGGTTTGAATCTAATGAAATCTATGAACATAATAATGTGCATCCCCAATGCAAACTTATATCCAAGTGCATAGAAGGAAAGGAACTGAAAGAGTAGTTGTTTTATGTAATAAGAGAGTCTCTAAAATAACTGATATAGAAAACACAGAGTGTTATGGTTTATGTATTCTCATACTGTTTAAACTATGGGAAACTGTTCAAGATCTTTGAAAAAATGATAGCACATGGTCCAAAGCATGTCAAACTTTTTTAGATGGATTAGCGATATCACCATGTATAAAATCTATAATTTCAAATATTGAACTACTACATAAGTGTTCAGAAGAGACTGCACTGAATCGTGAGTTACGAAAAAGTGCCTTAGATAATTCAATTCTTGTGAAAGCCTGTCATATTAACTGTGGATATGATATAAATGATCAGCATCTGTTTTCTGACATTGATGATGACTTACTTGATAATGATACTTCAAAAATTACACATACATTTGATTCTAGTACTATTATTAGATCTGCCTAAAAGATATCAAATTAGTCGATGCTGCTATGAATACTTTACAAATTAGGGGAAGATTCATTACAAAACCTTATATATCTTTAACAAACCTAGATCAATCAATTAATGTTAATAGTCTTGAACTGAAAAACATATGATGAGTAATAATTTTAATGATAATCTCTTAAAAATTTGGCAAAATACTATAACTTCTCGAAAAACTGCTTGCTAATATAACAATACCGCTAATCTTAAAAATAATCAACCACTAAATATTAATATTGATCAAACAAATAATAAACAAACCACACCACTGCAAATTACTATAATGGAAAAAAATAATAATCCCTTGGAAAATTTTCATCTGACCTAAATGAAGAGCAGAAAAAAGCTTTTTTTCTTGTGTGTGATCATCACCAAAGAAATCAACCAATGCATGAACATAAACTATCACAATTGCTACTCTATCTTACTGGCACAGGTGGTATTGGCAAATTTAAAGTCATCCAAGCCATTGATTCTTATTTTGCATGTACTTTACAATGTCATACTCTTTATATATTAGCACCTACTAGAATTGCTGCCGCCAATGTCTATAGAAATACTATTCATTCAGCATGTGGGTTTGGTTTTAATAAAAATAAAAAAAAACCAACCACAATATCAGATGAATCTCTATATCAACTTTAAGAATTATGGTCTGATATAGAATATGTTATCTTAGAAGAGATTTCTATGATTGGTAAAAATCTTTTAGTGCAATTTCATGCTTTTATAAAAAAATTAAAAACTACTGATAATTCTGTCCCCTTTGCTGGATTAAATATTCTATGTGTTGGCGATTTTATGCAACTACTAGTGGTATTAGATACAGCTCTATACATGCTAGATAATATTACCCAAATTAATTCACTTAACTCACATTACTCAAATAATATTAAACCTTCTTCAATTTCCACAAAAAAAAAAAGTGCTATAGACCCATTATCAATTAACTACCACTCTGTCACTAATACTACTGAGAAAAACCTTTGGTTAAATGTTAAACATGTAGTTATTCTAAAAAAACCAATGCATCAGTTAGACGATCCATTTTATGCTAGTATTCTAGAAAGAATAAATGAAGGAAATCTTACCAAATTCCAAAAATCTGCTTTAAGATCGAAGATTCTTGGTGATAATACAATTAGTTCAATAGATTGGAGGGATGCCATTTTTCTTGTACCAAGAAATGATCTTTATGTTCAGCTCAATTTTGATGCTACAAAAGAACATGCTTATTATAACAATCAACCACTTATTTACTCTTACGCACAAGACTCTTATAATCGAAATATTCTTACCAGAAATATTCGAAATAAATTTTTATCAACACCTGATACAAAAGATAATGCACTATGTGGTATTCTTCCCTTATCCATTAATATGAAAGTGGTTATAACTGTAAATGTATGTACAAATAATAACCTTGCTAATAGCTCACAAGAAATTCTTCGAGAAATAGTATATGACGATAATTCTGTTGAATGTTCACATTATAATGATAATACTATAATATTGAAAAGTCTACCAAAATATGTTATAATTGAACTAATAGGCAGAACTCCTGGTTTATATTAAAACCATAAACCTAATTATGTACCTATTTAATCTGTTAAATGATCATGCATATGAACTATTTGAAAATGTGATGGTTCAAAGATCCAGAAAAGGTTTCAACATTTTCAACTACCTCTAATGCCTGCATTTGCTTTCACTGATTATAAATGTCAAGGAAAACCTTGCAAAAAGCTATAATTGACTTAATAGGTAGTAACACAAGTAATGGCTTATATGTGATGCTTTCTCAGGTACAGAAATTAAATAACCTTTTAATTCTTCAACCATTTAATGAATCAATGTTAAATATGCAAATATTATCTGCTCTTTGTGCTAAATTTGACAGACTCAATGAATGTGCACAAAAAACTAACCAATTAAAAGAATGGCCTAATATTTAACTCTATTTTTCTTTTTCTTAACACATCATATAAATTATATAATTGTATTTCAAAAATAATTGTACCTAATTTATAATATATACTCTATCATCTTTTAATTATTAGATAATGTAATATCATGACACAATTACAATAAATTGAATATCTTTATTTTTTTTGGTGTTAAGGTGAGGCCTTGCTCATATCTTTATTAGTAATTTTAGTTGTACATATTAATATACTA